CAATCAGAAGACATGCAGAAGCAAATTAGCATGTTTAAAACTTACTTACCTGTGAAAAAGAAGCGCGCAGTTGAGAATATTAACCGAAATTAGCCGGATTCAGCTCAAAACAGCTGATAAATTTCGATTGATCGACCGTGGCGAGAGCGCAGATGGAAAGGCTGCGTCGTACTGCTAAGATAGTGTGCATGCGGAGGAATGCAGACGGCAGGACGGATTGCTCAGACACCACTCAATCACTGGGATACGGCAACCTTCCATCCCCGCGTTGTCGCGGCCGCAGCGCTGGTACGTCCGTGGGACCGCCCCCTCAACCGGTCGGATATGGACTGTACGTCAGCAGATGCCCCGCCGTCGTCCAACAGACCCCAATTTTTGATTTGTACTGTTTGGTTAATGGCTGTTTTCCATAGCACAATCCACGGGCTGCCACTATTTTCTGGTTGCTGTCCCCGCGCCCTGTTCCAAGATGGGCAGTGGCCTCTCTACGCGACACTCTCCACTACTCTGAACATCCGCTCACCACTTCCTCCGTCTTTGGAAGTTCCTCCTTTAGTTTCTACTGTCCCAATGGAAGGCTCATTTTTGACACTTTCTCCTCTGGCTTCTATTCGCTCGCTACCTAGGCCCTCAGAAGCGATTTATATTCTAGCATATTCTGTCATTCGTATGGCTGAGAAATAATCCCGTACGACTCCCTCTCGGTCAGCTACCATCCAAGTTCTACCCGTTGTGAGCCTCCACGGAAGCAGGTTCGACGAGAGTGTTTTGTTACATGGCTTCACAAACCTCTCCCACGACCAGGATTAGGTCAGGGAAGTTATGTTGTTTGAATCGGGGGTGTCCTGCACAGACAGATTGGGCGAGCAGTGCCGTGAGTTCATAGCATGAAATGCTTATGTGACTTAAGCTCTACTTGCATTGGTTTTTATATTTTTCGTTTGATGACTGATCTTTTTTCAGTCGGGGGATTGCATCGTTGATGTTCTTGGAGGGACTACTTCGAGCGTGGAAGCAGTCTACACTTTTGGTGGGAAAGTTTACCAGCTTGATCGAACCGTGGTGAACATGAGCTGCCCAGCGATGGAACAGTGGCTGAAGAACGGACCAATCAACTAATAAAACAAAACGCATCAACAACCAAACAAAAACAATAAATTCATTCGTGCTGCTCATTTGTATTGTGCAATGATTTCCGCGGTTTTATGATGTGAAACGTGCACTGATTTCAAGATTTTGGGTCTGCTGATCCATTTGTTTTCGATCGTTAGCGAGGACTTCATTCCCGTTCCCTGTTCATTCTGATAATAAGAAATTTAAAGGAGGCAAGCCGAAAGGGTGCACAACCTCATGAAATGTGCCTCGTCCAAGGAGCTCCAACCTTTGAAAAGCTTTTTCTGAATTGTAGACCTCCGTGCGATCATGGTGATTTTCGAAGTATCAGCGATTTTTTGCTATTGAGTTAATTTTTCGTGAAAGACGGGATTTACGCTGAGAAGGCAGCCCATTTGGAAATAAGTTAAGGATGGTCGTGTTCAAGGAGAGGCAAATGGAAAACCATGGGAAACGCAGGCTGAGAAATGGGGCCATCACTTGCCGTTAATTTCGGCGTGATGTGGATCTCATTGTACTCTGACGCTATCGCTTCTCTGCAATTAATCACTCGCGTGTAAGACTGTGGCGGCGAGTGTAAATAGTCGTTGGGATGCCGTGCAACTGAGCAAAGTGAGCCATGCCTGTCGTGAGTGAAATCTTTCACGGACTGTGGTTGAGCGCCTCAGGAAGTCGCTGAGTGCCAACATGGGCTTTTCCCGTTCTTTGACTTCGTTCTGGTCATGGAATTCTCTAACGCATCGTAGGTGCCATCTTGGAGTTCGAATCTCTGGTCATGCCTTCGATAGAGACGCAATATTATGGTTCCTGATGGATTCTAGTTTCTTTCAAGCCAACCCAATCCTTTTTTCCATCGTTAAAGGCACTTCAGCATCATTCCGTGTGAGCAGCCCACAATCAGTTTGACATGGAAATTCGGCCCTCATCGATGGCTTAAACTTCAAGTGGAGGTGTGACTTTGCTAAGGGTTTCTGCGATTGTACAGAGCGGGTGTTTTCACAGTCACGTTGCCCGCTTACTGACGAACCTCTTCAGTCTTGCTTTAGGGTTGTGGTGTGTAACCTGAGTTTTTAGGAAAGGCCAGCGGTTTTTTCGGCAGTATTTCTTGATTAAGGGTCGAGAAGGGCCCTTAGACATCCCAACTTTATTACTCAGTTCGAAAATAAGGCTCTGTGATTAAGGGAACTTTCAGGTCTAACGATAAATTAGGTGCAGATGTGGACCATAATTGGGACGGGTGACCTTACTTGTCAAAAAAACGCTGTAAAAAATTATGGGCTCAAATGTTAGCAGCAGAAATCATTCAAGCTCCAAATATAAGCCATTTGAACTGAGTTGTTTTCAAATCCAATAAAAATGAGTTATTTTCCCCTACATCTCCTACTTTTTTTTTTTCTTGTGATTTTCTGGATTTTTGATCGTCTTCCCTGCTGTTAGTTCAAAACTCTTTCTGCATCTGTTGTTTATCTTAATGTAACTGGTTGAAGTGATTTTCCAAAACGAGTAAGCTTAACCCTTTCGGACCTGAATTTTTCCCCGTGGAGAAATTTTTCTTCTAGCTATTGTTTATTACTTGTGAGCATATAGGTATCATTATGGCGAAATTTGGAAGCTATTCGATCACAAACAAAGAAACTAAGAAGCTTTGAAAATTGGCTAACCTTCTTAGTTTTTAAGCTTATGTCGAAACAATTCGAAGTTTCATAGTTATGCCGAAAGCTTAAATTGTGGTCTGACATAACTTTTAGACCCATATTTTTGATTGAGAATGGATCTACTCAGATTTTACAGAAAAAGTGCATTTTATTGACGAATTGCGGAGGACCGGCGCCGTTCTTGATAATGCATTGTACGCAAAGACTTGATACTACAATAAACAATGAAATGGCAGGTTAAGCTCATAATTAGGAAGGAAGGTTGACTGAAGCAACCTCTAGCAGGATTAGAAAAACCATGCTGTTTCAGCGGCAATGCAAGCGTTTGAATTTGGTGGTGGCAATTGCCACCGCCAGGGCCGAAAGGGTTAACTGAGGTTATGAATTGGGTAAATCGAAATCATGAAAATTAGCTAAAAAAACAGCATGAAGGTAGTTCAGCAACAGTTACACATGCTTTTATCGGTACATTTTCATTCGTTCTTTTTTCGAAAATAGTTTCTCGAATGTCAGCATATTTTTGTTTTTATTTACAAACACATATTCCAAGGACCAAGAGCAGTCCTATTTAGGAAAACAAAAGAAATTGAAGGGATCCTCTTCTCATCTGAACGTAGCTCATAACATGGTAGGAGAGTAGCTGACGGAAAGCCAAATGGGATTCTCGATAGATTGCGTTCTACTCTCAGCAGAGTCCACAGGCATGTCCGCAGTACTGCAGTTTGTATGCGTGCGAGTAGTGTGAATTGTTGCAAAATCCATTTCGAACCCAGCTCGCACAACTGAAAACATAAGGAAGGTGAGAAGAAGTCCTCGAAAAAGAACTGCCAAAAAAATGAAGATTCCTGATTTCTGCATCTAGAACGAAGGCTATATTGGGTGGTTGTTTTTGGCTATCATTAATGGGCGGTCGAAGAGCGACTAAAAAAATCCTGCCTCAATTGCAGCCGCACTCATTCTGGGACAGATTCCAGCATAACGGTATACCAAAACATACGTTATGAATAGTACTCTGACACTCAAGTAGCGGACCTGTGCCTCTGGGAATAACCCTATCCAGCCCACAAAATCAACTGTTCCACCCCTAGACCACTCCGCCCGTGCTCGGAGATTCGGTATATAAGCTGAATTTTTGTGCAGCTAGCTCTTGTTAAAGGCACAATTCAGGCAGGGGCATGTGAACGATTCCTTCGGTCTGTAAATAGACCCCTAGAGGACAATCACAGATGTGGCATTCCCGTGCACGGAAATCACCCGACAAGAGCGCTAGGGCCTTGCAAAGTAAGCTGCAGCAGCTGCAATTTTTTCTTTTATCAGGCTGTTGTCTGGCGCCCTCTCATCTGTGCGCTCTCTCGCCTCTCCGCGCTTAGTCTCTCATTGCCTTAGCACAGCAATAGCGAAGGTGACCTCAACCCAAACGCCTTCGAAGAATTCTTCTCCTTTTCTCCTTACTGCCTGCCGACTTAGCATCAATAAGGATAAAGGATAAAGCACTTGCCGTTGATCAATCCCTTTTTGGGATGCGGCACGCATTCTACTTCCATTCAGCTCCCCCTAATGCCCCTCCAAAGGCTGGAGAATAGAAAGAAATTTGCACTATCCGGAGAGCAAATAGTGAAAGAACAAAACCATGGGCCATTCATTATCCTACCTAGATGTTTCCTAGAAACGGTTTTCCACTGCATGCAATATCTGCCTAGGTATGTTTCTGTGGAAACGTTCAAAAAAGAAGATACATGTGAGATTGGACAAGCCGAGAGGCGGAAACAGGATAGCTCTCAGAATGGCCTTATAATCTGTCCGAGCAATTCTTTACCATTACTCGCATTTCGAAGTTTTTCTATACTTCGTTGTCATGTTATTACCATGCGTTGGTGGGTGATTTTTACAGTACACACATGTCGTCAGACATGAATATTGAATTGAGTAGATCTTGCTAGGTGCACTGGCCTTTGGCATTCATGTGTCGGCTTCAAGAAAATGGGCAGCGATGACATCCCCTGAGGGATTTTCTCCTCGGGTGAAGTATCAGAACTACCAACCAAGGGTGGGGGGGGGTACGGTCGCTATTTCTAAAGACTGCAAAGGAGCTATCGCCTTCTTTGACCGCTGCGACCGCTGCCACTCTCATTAATCGCGGTATACGTGGCACTGGGCACTTTCGCGTACGACGTGCCTTCTCTCATTATCTTCCTTCTCAGCGCCTGTGTCTCTGCTCGACAAAAAATTCAGTGTTTTCTATAATGCTTTTTTACTTTTTCCCAACAACGCTCCTCTTTACACATCTTGTATAAATTTTGAGCAAATGGAGCACGCCCTGGGCCTTAAAGGTTCTCAATAGTGAAACCGGTCTACTTCGACTTTCATTAAAAAAAAATGCGGCAAAAAATCGAGGAACTGCACCTCTTCACTCGAAAACACATCACGCGATGGTCGCGTTCAAGATTTAAAGGATCTGTGCAATTGTGTAGACGGGGTTTGTGCCTCGGCTCGGCGGGAACTTCTCTTCTTAACTTCACCTCTTTACTGAATTTTAGCACAGCTCACTTATGACATTTTCTCAAGGGTAGGACGGAAAGAATAGTCACAAGGATGAATGTGTACTCTTGTGTAAGCTGGACTTTCGGTACAAAAAAGCTGGATTTCCGGTACCAAAGACGAGAAGTGGATGTTCTATGTAAAACGAATTATTCACTGAATTCCAGCCGATAGAAACCCAGAACAAGTCCCAAAGCCGATTTGCACGGAAGAAAGCTATGCTCTTTTCTTGGCACCATTTATTGGCAACTCCTTCCTGATAGCTGCACATAATCACTGCCGACGTCTATTGCCAACAACTACAAATGTGTTGAACGAACACCAAATGAAGCGGTGAATAACGGTCGAGGAATTCCTCGACCATCGCTCTCTGCTGTGCGAGAGTAGTGCCGAGAGTGAATGTACGCGCGGAGAGCACAGACGGCTCGCGGGTGGCGAGAGTGAATATCCGCGCGCGAGAACGTAAAGAATCAGGCGAAAATCCTCGACGTGCCGTTGAGGAATCCTCAAGCAATATTCACAGAAACGATTTCTTAGGATGGTTTCCTAGCTTCCACCGTAAGCGCGTTCGCGGTGGGGCCCGCACTGCCACATGTTATCGATTTGTTTTCGTCGTTTTCTCTGCGCCCTCCACGACGAGAATGTGGTCGTCAACTGCACGGAGCGCCATCGCTGTAGAAAGCGGAGTAGGGCAAGGCATCGGTTCTGCCGCAGAGAAGTGCGGGCGCAATGTGGCTCGGGGGGGGGGCAGTCGCCGCGCGCGGCTCAGCGATGTAGTGTAACTCGAACATTCCAGCTTCTCACGGAACATTCCAGCTTCTCACGCATGCTAAGTGACTGCCCTCACCCCCACCCCCCTGAATTGGCTACATTCCCCCTGGCTCACGAATTTCCTGTTGCCGCAACGCCGCGCGCGGCGGCTGCCCCCCCCCCCGAGCCACATTGCGCCGAAGTCGCGCAAGCGGCCAGGCGGACGTTTGCACTGCGAAGCGGGTGCTGCAGGAATTTTGGACGGCTGCCTCCGGGTGGTCGCGAGGAAAGGTGTTATAATACCCAGGCTTAGTCCCGATCAAAGGAGGTGTACACGTCCGCCGATCCGATTGCGCGCTCCAGTGCTCAATAGTGCGCCCCAGTGCAACGTGGTTACGGTGGAAGTTAGGAAACCATCCTGATAAATCGTTCTTGTGCCAATATCACCCTGCTCTCACTGACATCCATGAAGAATCTAATAATCCGGTATATCATAGCGTCATGCCAGATGTCAGCCAAACTACCCTAAGCCCACTCTACAAAGAGATTTTGCAGGCTCGCCCAACGAGCAAAATGGCGTCGAAAATAATGAACATTAATGAGCTTGTTGTCTGATGAATCCAGTGATTCAAACAGAAAATCTTCAAGACAAAAAACACTTATACATTTCAACCATAAATTGAGACTCATCATCCACGATAGGAATGAAAAGAATAGAAAATTGCAGTTGTTTTGGAAAAAAAATTCGAAAAGCCGGAAGGGCTGCTACGCATTCAAAGTACCGCCGCACATCTGTCACAAATGCTGGCGACGGGATCGCTTCCACTGGTCCCACAATTAAGAGTGACTTCCCTGAACCTTTGCTGGCCCCCTGCTTAATATGGTCAATTACACATCACACACCTACACGCATCCTATTTTATAGATCGATTCTCTACTCCCAGATACCCACTTTACCCGCTTCTTCGCCTTACCGCTCCAAAGCGTACCTTCGATTCCGCCTTGGCTCCCGCGCTTTACTCGATGTCCCATAAAAGACATAAAGGAAAAGGCATCACGTGATCAATCCCTTTTGGGATGCGGCACGCATTCTACTTCCATTTGTACATTCGCAGTGGCGTTTGAATGCGATGTGGCCTATACAATGACTTGCGGGGGCCAGCCGATGTACAAGTCAGTGTTTTTATCCTCCCAGACAAGTCTGGTACCAATTAACCGACCCCGGAGGGATGGAAGGCTTGGTTGGCCCGGGCGACTCACGACCCAGGATTTGATCCCGGACCGCTCGCGTGGTGAGCGCGCCACTTGCCACTACACCACTTCCCTTAATGTGTTATTTTTGACTTTGTTTTCTCTCGAAAATAATCTTCAATCGCGACTTTGCTGGTGTTCCCTGATCACAACTAATATATTCGTGCTAAAAGAATCGCACAAAATTCCTCCCGCCAAGATTCCTTCACACCTTTAGCCGGATGGTACTCTTCGAGGTCAATGTTTCCGTACACAGTACCCTTGACAGATATTGGTCCAGGAACGAATGCTCCGAAATTACTCCCCATTAGCCACTTACCATTAGACCCTCCATCATTCCGCAGTTGTTGATTGGGTACCCATTATCTCACTTCGACGATGGAAAGGCTGAATAGTACATCGACTGAGCAACGAGGGCCACTAGCCAGAACCACTTTTATCTGTATCGCGATCTGAAATGAAGTCGAAGGCATCATGCCATCAGTGGATCGATCAAATGTTGGATGTCTAATATATGAGTGACATCTATGAGACATTCGTAGTGGCGTTTGAATGCGATGTGGCCTATACAATGACTTGCGGGGCCAGCCGATGTACAAGTCAGTGTTTTTCCTCCCAGACAAGTCTGGTACCAATTAACCGACCCCGGAGGGATGGAAGGCTTGGTTGGCCCGGGCGACTCACGACCCAGGATTTGATCCCCGGACCGCTCGCGTGGTAAGCGTGCCACTTGTCACTACACCACTTCCGCCCTTCGCATCAATACGTTCTTATAAGTGTGCAGGTACCCTACCTATTTGATCCTGCGGTACGCCTATAATTAACCTCATTTTCTTAAGGTATCAACACCATCAAAAAGCGAGGGCGAGGGCATATCTTGTTATTAGCACTATCAGTGGCAAAATCAGGCAAAGCACGAGAGTCATTGACGCCGTTAGAGGTCTGTTGTAAAACTTACTTTGGGTTTGATCCACATCCAGCACCTAAAAAGAATAGTATTTAAATGTAACCTATTTTAGTGACCGATCAAGGGCTTGATAAGATTATCACCTCTGTTTTCAACCAATGTGGCACATGTCAATTTTTGTGACATAATTTTATTTGTTTTGTGTGCTCGAAAAGCACGCAAAACAAATCAAATCATGCCTTCTGCTTAAAAAATGATATTGACAAGAAATTATCATTGAAATGCTTTCAGTGCAAAGACTTTTGAGGAGAATGGTAACGTAATGCTACAACTATTGCTGCTACTCAGGCCTTTCCCTTCCGTCGGACGCCCGCCCCTCTTTCCACCCATCAACTAGCTACTTCAGCTGTGGGACCATTTTAGATGGATTATAACCGTAGACTGACAGAGTAGCCCGTTCGCGCTGCTGAGGTGAGCATCAATTAGGTTCGTTCAAACGAATTCGTCGCGAAAAACTAGACCGTTTTGAGGATAAAGAAATGGTTGTGGCAAAGTTCCACCGGAAATATGTGTCATCTAGCTCTTAACCTGACACTGAACTTCACAGACATAGTTATCTTTAAAAGAATCGCCATTTGATGCGATAAGGTTTTTTTTATAATGCAGAGGTACCTACCTGGAGCCACGCTCGAATCGGTGCAGAAGCCGCATCTCTTCTTGCAGTATCGCTTCAAACATTTTGATATTGTTCTTATCATTGACACGAAATGTGTTTGCCCACCTGTGCAAAGGATTCCAAGTTCTTACTCTGACAAATAAATCCGTCGGCCAAGTCGCAGCCCGGAGCTTCATCGACGCAGGCACCGGAAATAAGTGATTTCACCACACATAAATCATAAAATTGTTGAAATGTGTATACATTTTGTGCGCGAACCAGCTAGTCCTCACAAGAGATCGAGAAGTGAGCAGTTTGGCAACGAAAACCACTATTGTAATGCCCTCGTTGGTCGCTTTAAGCAGTGTCGTGACTTGCCGGGATGAAACCGCGCTCAATCGAAGTCGCATGCGGTCTTACCGCGAATCATGGAATGCACTGGAAGCGCGGGAAAAGCCAGTCACGCGCGCAGTCGGTCAGTTCAAGTCAGTGTCGTCAGTGCAGTCGGTCAGCGTCGGTTCGTCTCTCAAGTCAGTCGGCTGGACCCGTCAAGCGCAGTTGGTCCTATTCGCCTCGTCACGCCGGAGAAGTCATCTGCCCGGCTCAAGTCGGTGGACCAGCGCAGTCGTCCTGACCCTAACCCTTGGGAATTCTACACGAAGTTATACGAGTATCTATTTCTCATCTTGTTCTTCCTCATCATCAGGTAGCTTAACCTTATGTTTCATGTTTGTAGTCTTCTTTATCCCCGTAGTCAACATTTGCTGTCAATATAGTATAAGCCATAAACCGGTCTCAATAATCAGTGTAGTTTACGTGTGTAGTACGCAGTTGGTTAAAACCACCTTTATTTCATCACAACCGTAGTACAATGTCGTAGTGCGTAAGCCGTAGGTCTTCAGGGGTAAGGCCTTAACTGCCCGTGGCAAGGCATTGCAGCATTCAGCGCGACAGGTAAACCCCGCGAGGGTGTGTGGGCACCGACAACTCCCACGTTCTGGCCGTGGTCCGGGTGCACGCACCGCCGATGCATTCTCCAGTCAGCACCTGGTCACGACAGCGTAATAAAGCACCTCCAAGACGCATTGGCGGAAAACCACCGATAATGAGTTGTAGGTGAAAAGTTGACCAATAATGAAAGAAAAAGTAAAAAAGACGTCGAACAGGGTTAGACAGGGACTCCCCCTCTGCCACTTAGCAATGGAGGAAGACGCTTGTTGGACGAGTTGTCTGAACATGCCCGCAGTAAATGCGCCCCAATTGCAATTGCTGGCAAGTAGCTGGCAATAGCTGGCTACTTGCCAGCAATTGCAATTGGGGCGCAATAATGAAATCGTTTTATGTTTTAGAAGGTAGAAGGAAAAAACGTAGAAATCCAGCGTAGTCGGCATCACCACATCGATTGCTTTAAAGGATCGACCTCAAATAGTCCCGGTGGTCCCGAAACGACCGCAAATGTCTGCGCAGCCAATCACGCACTCTTCACGACAGAAGTGGGCGGCCGTACCGAGGCTCGGTGGATCCGCCCACTTCGACGGCGTTAGACCCCCTTCCAACGCCTTTCAAAGGTAAGTTTTCAAATCAGTGACATTTCCTATGTACTTGACTAGGGCTAGTGCATGTTTCCACCCCTTAGGATCGAATGGTTGAAACCGGGACTGTTGCTTTAAAACCATGGCACTGCCGTTTCCGAGCGCTTGGGTAGTATCTCTGCCAGCAACATTTTAACGTAGCAATAATATTTATCAACAATTTACACGAGCACACCCTCTGGTCTGCAATTTCATGGCATGTGCTTTGCAGATTTGTTGCTGAGCCCTATGAATTGCTGTTGTACTGCTGATCACGCTATTTAAACAGGTGAAACTCCAGTTCGGGGGGGGGGGCACTCCATTGCTATCTTATCCGTAGTACTAGAGAGCAGTTCTTTGGGCTATCGAACACTACGGATAAGATAATAAGTGAACGACTCATTTCGAGCGTACTTTTGATAAGGACCGGTGGATGTCCTACATTCCACACTACCTGCCCACATCCCATCCACTTTTCTGCACAGGTGATCCACCCTGGAGCTCCTGCACCCTTAGCCTAGGCGAGGTGTCCATTCTCCTGGTCCAGAGCTTCTCCTTGGGCCATGCAGGCGAAAATGTGAAAGCATCTCTGGGTTTCTTCCACATTCCACCGATACTCATCAGAAGTACT